AAAACATCTTGAAACTCTCCAGAAACTCTTTATGGTGGCAATTTACATCATCTTGAATTATCTGGTTATACTTACTTAATTATACGGCGGCACAGTTGGGACTCTACTATTTTCCAAAACCGGCGTGTTTGCAAACTGAAAGAAGTATTGTATACATTTGCATTTCCAATATTGCAATTACACGCTCAACTAGACTGACGAACGTGATCATTTGTCTATAAAAAGGGAAAGGAGGGTGGCGCTCATTCGAAGAGAGGACGCACTTTTTTGGGCTACAGGAGGGGCGCTTATTCATGGATTTACGGTAGCTTTCCATGAGTCCCTCTCCATCCAGGAATACAACTAAGAACTAGTTCAGTGTCTGGAAAACTTCACGAGGGTGTTTCATGAGGAAGACAATAGCATCACATTCAGAAATAGCCGCAATACTTCTAGGCAATAGATTAACCCCTAATGCAATAACATCAGTATGTATATTCTCCATACTGTTCTCTATACATTTCTTAACGTGCTGACGAGGAGAATTTGTTTAAAAAAACAAGGGCTTATTTAGTTTGCATAATTTCCATTTTTCTCGTGATCTCAATGTGTGGAGATATTGTTTGGAAAAATACGATGCTTGTCACTCTTGAAGGTTAATGGGTTAAGAACAATGGAACATTTTGATCTCGGTAGTGGAATGAAGAAAGATGTTATTTGTCTCGTAACGAGCGTATGACAAAGGAAAAATCCCGAGTGCTCACGAGAAATCGGACCCCAGACCCTCGGATTCCATCCTCCATGCCACATGAGCATCATGGAACCCCAAAGGTTTGGGGTTCCATCTTTCCTGGGAACTCAATTTTTTTCTTTTTCCCACGCTCCTTGTAAGACAAATCACTTCCTTGAACGCTCCTAGTCGTTCCATGTTAAGCTCCGAAAGTGTGGGTCAGTACTTCTAAGCTTGTAAGATGAAATATTTCATCACAAGAAACTAAAAATGTTTTTATATCTCCCAATTCCTCAATTTTCGACTTTTTGTCCATCTGTATCGTTGAAGATGGCTCCAAATGACCGTCTCTAATCGTATCTTCAAAGTTGGTGTCAAGTTTTGAGATTCCATTGGAAAGGTAACACGATTTTTGGGCCAACAGTGATCTTGAATTGCCCTCCGGCTTACTTAATTTGTTTACTTTATTTTATAAAAGGAAACTCTAAAAGACACAACAAATAGTTTGGTATTGGGTGTCATCAGAAGCATGCAAATAGTGTCACCCAACTGTGTTTAGTCTAGAATGGAGTGTCTGCCGCATAATTTAATTGTAAACTAGTCTTGTTAACGCAAACGATTGGTAGTAAATATAAGTTTAAATTGAATTATGACTCGGTTTTGCTAAACAGCGGATAAATTTTGGGTAAACACTAAGCCCTCTGACTTTGGCACAGCTTTTCTCTTTGTCGAAAAGCTCAAGAAGCTGATTTGGTGTGAATCAGAGGTTTGGAAAAACGCTAAACTATCGGAATGAGTACGATTTCTTCCAAGGCTCAACAGATGGGGCACACCATCAGTGAACATTAGCATTGCTATTTCAAGAAATTTTTAGGGCTTGAAGGTTTTTGGGTTTAGGCACTGAAATACTTTAAGCTTATGTTTTTTTTATTATTAGTGTGGTGTTGTTGATAGGATTATGAAGAAATCCAAACTTCTTACGTACACGTTTTTGTCTGCTGGCCAGAATTCCCGACATGTGGGAGTCAAAGTTTGTCAACATCTGACTTTAAAAACACGACTATTCCCATCCTCTGTCTTTCAACTGAAGATTTTCTGAATTCCGCAGACATTTGAAAATAACCTATAAACTTGCCTGTCCTCGTCTTCTCGCCAAATTCCTCTCTCGAGGAAATTTAAATTCACTTTCAAACGCTTCATTTCTAGATAAAAATCGATATCCCTACGCTCATATCGTTCCTCGATGTGTTTTATACTCGCCGAATTTATTTTATATATTCAGACTATGCAATACAGTTGGACTTTACTACATCTTTTTTATTGACTAATTTACATGACCAAAAGCGTTTATTCGTCTTTTAAACGACGTACAGTAAGCGTTCGTAAATGAACTCATTCTTAACATGTATTCGGTAAACAAAGAATAAAATGCAATTTTCAATTGAGCGCCGAAGGCAGTGTGCGATTGCAATTGGTTTTGCTTTCTTCGCTTTGTGATTGGTCCAGAAAACTTAGCTTTGATTTCTCATTGGCTCCCATAAAAATTTCCTTTGATCTGATTGGTCATTGTAGCTACTTTTTTTTTCTTTTTCTTTGTGTTCACGACACTCAATTGAAATACGCAATTATCTGAATGCATGCCTCTAGTTGTGCTTGTACGCGCTAAACCCAATTTTCCTGGATCGCGTCGATGAAAAAGATGCTTTGTCAAACACTGGTTTTATTACCTAACGAGTAGGAGATACGACGGATCGAATTTTGGACAACGATGACCAACTGGAAGCAAAGTACTATTTTTGAGCAGTTTCTGAACTTTCTTTGTGCTGAACAGATATGTTAACGTAAATTAACAGCGAAATCACCTTCGCGATTCGCCCCAGACCCAGACGATGGTCTTGGCATATGCGTTTCATACGCGAATATAAAGCGTAAGTGAACCATTTAAAAATACACAATTTTATGTACAGACAAAGTGCTACTTGCAATGCTCGACTGCTGTTCTATCGCGACGCATGACAGGGATGTGGAAGTCAACTGAACGCTTAACAGTAAATTATGTTAACTGAAACCATTGCTCTTATTGAAGACACTGAAGCAATATGATTAGTTTGAGTTTCCTTTTCCAGTTGACGAACATTTGTCCTCAGGTTGCAATGCATCATGGTATTTTCTTTAGGCATCTTTTATACTCATCCGATACCCGCCAGGCGCATGCGTCACCGCTCCAGTCCCTCATGCAGTAGGAGTGTTTACTTTTACAATGTTCTTTCATTGGTGCCTTCCATTCGACTTTTTCACAGCCACTGAGCATTTTATCGCAGTTGCTACCGAAACACATCCCCACTTGACACATGCAGTTCTCTCCATAAAAACGTCTGATTCCAGCTCTTTGTTTGCGCGTTATTAGCGACCACTCCGTCCTCCATTTGCAACCTCCAGTCCGCAGCCTATTGTGGAGTATCTGCCCCGTCAAAAGGTACACGGTGCGGTTGCGCAATGGCACGTGGCACGACGACGCGCGTGCCGGCGTGTACAGCTTTGCACGCAGAGTTCGACGCCGTGAGCCGTACACTTCCACACCCTCTGTTTTATTGATTTCTCGAGCTCCTTTGTATATCTTGAGTATCCTCAAAGTGTACACTTGTTCTTGGATGAATTCTGCTGGGATGTGCTCCTCAATGGCTGTCTCTGGTGGTTCTGTCTGAAGAGGTTGCTCTGTGGACTCAGAAAGGACTTTGGCTCGAATAACTGTCGAAACAAAACAAAAATAGCAACTCAGTGTATTTCAGCCACGGCACAGCCACAAAATGGCTCCTTATCTCCTGCCTCCAGGCCCAGTTGTATTTTTCGTGCAGGGTTTGGTTGGATATGGAAAAGCGGAAAACCTAGAGGAAAGCCCTCGGGGGCAAGGTCGAGAACCCATCACCTTGACCCGCAAGTGATGGAACGTTGAAGACCTTTGATTGCCCGCAATTGTGCACCCTTAAAAATATTTGCGCAGTTGAATGTCCATATGGAAACGACAGCTAGTCATAAATGATCACATGCAGTGGTTGCTTGCTTCATGGTCGGTTCAAACTTTCATTGTTTTACATATTACATATCTAATCTATATCTTTATAACTGCCTTACTCTACATTATAACTTTCGCCACATGATAGTGCTACCCATTAACTTTGATTCAAATGGTCACACTCTGGGTTTCACCCACAAACTGAAAAGTGAGAACACTTTGTGCAACGTAATAAACAGTTTTACTTGAAAGAAGAGCTCAGTATTTACACTAAGTTCCAAACACAAACTAAAAAAGTTAAAATCCCTTTTAATCGCACGAAAAACAATGAGAGCACTGTTTAGTTGCTTTTACTTAAACTCCAGAGTTCTACAGTTTACAGACGCTATACGCTAGTGCTACTTCAGTTGAACAGCACAACACAGTCACATCACCAAAAACAATGAGAACACAGTTTACAGACGCTGTAAGCTAGAACTACTTCAGTTGAACAGCACAACACAGTCACAGAACCAAAAACAATGAGAGTACTGTTTAGTTGCTTTCACCTAAACACCAGGGTTCCACAGTTTACAGACGCCATAAGCTAGAGCTACTGCAGTTGAACAGCACAATACACAGTCATATCGAATCACTGCTCAGAAGCTTCCAAGTGAATGTTGCAGAAGGTTAGAACTACCATGCAGAACATAACAAACAGCACCATTTGGAAATGCACCTCCTGAGTAGCTTTTGATATCCAATCCTAAACCACAGAGTTCAAACCGCTTTGTGCATGTTAACAGTCTAGAATGCTGAAGGATTTGAAGATGGTCATACACTTAAATGTAAACCCCCGAATGGACTCTTTTCGTGAACAACGCATGCTTAAGCACATCATCGTCACATGCGCATAACTCTTTCTGAAAGGTCAATCTATTGAATGAAACGTCGTGAGACAAACTAAAATGAACCTCTAAAAAAAGTCCGAGAATCTGCCGACTCTGAGCATTTTGTCAAAGATTGGTAGACATTACACTTAAGCCAGAATTTAAGACTTGTCAATACTTTTCAAGCTGATATGCAGTTACCGTATTTGAGAAAACTTCACTGATGCAATTAAATGAGATTTGACATTGTGATGAAAAATAGAGCAGAACTTTCTCTTAGCAGCAGGTGACACAAACCAACGTGAATCACAATAGCTCGTCTTGAACTATACCAGATATAATGCTAACTTTAATATTGGGGATTAAGTCTCAGGAATAGTATTAAGTTTTAATCTTTCGCAACTAGCGCAGTGCCAACTCATAAGCGAGAGGTTATTAGCGAAGAAAACGGTTATTAATTCCTAGCTTGAAAATTGAGCCCTCTTGTCTTCCAAGTGGTATGAATTTCTTTCGTCGAAAACGATTTTAATGTTTGTTTTGTTTAATTCCTTTGGTAAGGTTTAGTCTTTTAGCTGTGATCGAAGATATTTGATAAACGTAGAAGAAAGGTGAATTGTCTTGAAACATGGATAGTCTACGGCCATTATGTAATGTTTAAAACACCTTACAGCCACCCTTGTGTCAGTTTTTAATTTGCATCAAGGAGTTTAGTGCTTTAGTAGCCATACTTTACAATGTAAATCCAATTTATTAGTAGATTGCACGATCCGATCTTGAATGGAGATTACGGAATTTGAAAACACAAGATACGCGAAACACGAACGGGCTAAGGTGAAACACACTTTTTCAATTGAATTAATTGGTCACCCTCTGACATACTTTATGGAAAAGTACGCTGTATGTTGGATAATGAATCCAGAGAAAACTGTCTGCATTTGGGTTCAAAAAACTAAAAGAGCGATTTCAAAAAGAGTTATACTTCTTTTTATCAATCATTTCCTTTCATGTGTCGAAGTGTGAGAGCTTTTTTTTTTCACAGTTCCTATCATCAACGACGCGACATCTGACTTAATAGAAGGTTCAAATTAGATTACACAATACCCAGAGGAAAAGGGGAGGATTTGGCGCAAGATCACAGTCTCACAGCACGGATCGTTACCGGCTTTTTCATCTTTTTTGTAAACACGCTTTTTTTTTTCTTGGCTCGCCTGTTTCAATATAAAACTCACTACCCACGGGTTTTACAGGCTAACGTGACATGCGAATTTTTGCGTGACTAAAAAAAAAAACTTTGATGTTTAAATAGAAATATTTGTCATTATTCATCCTCTATAAATTTTCTCCTTCACAATCGCCATTCGTAGAGAGCCATCCTGAATAAAATTTTCCTTAATTCTTTAAAAACATTTCAAAGATTCGTGATTTGTTTTTTTTCAACAACCCCAAACCTGCGTGAGTTTCCTGTGTTGCGTTAAGTAGCTCTCGGTGAATCAGGGCAGAAGGTCCTTTTTCTAAAAAAAAAACCTTGGCCGTGAATATTTCTGTTTGTTTTGTCTGCTGTCTGGGACTGTGTTCAAGCTGTTCTTAGTGTGAAGATTTCGTCGTTGCCAACGTTGCGGTTTCGTCGTAAAAACAAAAATGTTCAGATTAACGAGTTTAACCTTCGCCGCTCGTGTATCCATGACAAATATTTTGGGTTTGTCAAAACTTATCTTGGGATTTATCTCTATGTCATGCCCTGGATGAATTTTTTCAGAGATACCTCCGTAGTGACAATTTTCCGTTCGTAAAACTCTTATTTATCATAGTCTGATAGAGAGAGAGAGAGATAGAAAAAGGCGAGTTGAGATTTAATATCAAATATGATAGCGAATCAACGAGGCCGACGGAATCAACACCGGAAGAAAACGTAACCGACCACCTGAATTCTTTAATTTCCTTGTCAATGGTATTAGCGATAATAGAGGTATTAAAATCTCTTAAAGAAGGTCCACTCGTTTTTCATAACCTGATTATTACCTCATAGCTAATACCTTAAAAACCGCTCTGCTATGTTATGCACAGAAAAGAAATGACAAACGTGTAATGTTATTTTGCACGCAATCAAATGTATTGTGAATCTTGAAAGTAATAAACACCCGTAAGTGACTTCACTGACATCTTTCCATTTCATTTCAACAAAGCCGTTCATTCATCTTTACTTTCATCTTGGATTTCATCTTGAAAGGTAGCCGACTGCGGACAGAGCAACGTTTTCTTCCTACAAAATCACGATGCATGAATACGTAGTTTGAAACAAGTGAAGAAGTTAAACGGCCGAAATGTTGAATTTTATCAGCGTGCTTCTGCAAAAATTTGCTGACGTTTTCAAAAGATTTTTCATGCAGGCTTTTGCACACGACATGTAACCCTCCTAATGACACAAAATATTCGTTACTCACCGAAAGCAGAGTTGCAATATTCATTTTGAGGATGACTCGGCAAACACGAGCAAGCACGACACACAGAAATAAATGCGTTGCTGAAGAAAAATAGTATAAGAAGGTACCCCATCGTTAAATTCTCCAGAGCGTGCTTCCAAACCCCGACCGGTGTCTGTAAATAAGTTGTTTGTCCGCTAAAAGCTATATATTCCCAGCCGATAACGACTTATTTGAGCTGTTTCCTTTGCAAGCGGCAAACTTCGCTTTGAGTCGTACGGTAACCGGATATAGGGCGTCTATGAAGACAAAAAAATTCAGCCCTCTTCGAGAACTCATGATGTCACTGGGCATTAAAAATACTTTTCAGCGAACAGGACAAAGTCACGCCTCATCGACCACACGGGGCTGTCTCGCACTGAGATGGCTTTTTTCGTATTTTCTTTTTCCGGACAAAATTTCCAGCCAAATTTATGAGAAAATAGAGCCAAAAACATGACCAATATCAAGTAGTTTCTTATTAGCAATCTACAATATAACGCGATTTGTTATTTTCGCTCAGTCCTAACAGTTCTGTTTTTTCCTAAATATGTTGTATTCTTTTCAATTATTATTGTAGCATCTGATGGCATAGGTAGTTATTTACATATAGCTGTGGAATTTTAAAGACGGATTCTCGTGACCCCTTGCTAAGGACTTGTTTAGATTAATTTTTCCTTAAGCATTGAAAGTATTTGTACTCACTCAGCTGATAACATATTTCGCATTTTCCAAGGAGGTTTCCGAGTGGTTATTTGGTAGCCAGCGCGTTTACTAACTCTCAAATTTATCACGTTTTCACAAGATTTTCACTTTGGTGTGATGTTAGAAAACTTTAATGGGAATTTATCTCTCTCTCGCTTCGGGATTTGTTACTCCAATCGATCATCTGCTAACTTGGAAAACACGTGTCATTCGCTTACGGCCTAATTTCAATTTGTTTGGAACAGAATATGATTATTCCTTGATATTTTCTTTCAAACAACAGACCAAAAACGTGAAATGTGTTTAAAACCTGGAATTATTCAAACTGGCTCGTGCATCAACACATTATCAAGACCATTAGTTGTATAATGATAGCGAAAGTAATTGGAGGAAGGCGAAAAACATTACATCTTTGCGTGTGGTGTTCAGCCCTATTTCATTGGAGCAATTTGGGCGGTCGAACCATGAACTACTCTAGCGGTTTTTTTCCGAGAGTGATTCCACGGAATGTTTTCGTTTGAACTTTGTAATCTGTTTAAAGTGATAACCCCACTGAACGGAACTTTTTAAGAGTCTTTAATGCCGCAAAGCGGAAAAAGGCTCTTTTTTCTTTTTTTTTCTTCTTTTTTTTTTTAATCATACTAATTTGAATTAGTCACTGCTCCGAACAATATTACCTTCCGTTCAGAGGAGACAACTAAATATTAGTTTCATGGGATGGAAAATTATAGAAGCGACCAGAGTAAAACAAGGGGAAATTCATGGATGGCTTAGGACAGAAGTTGGTGGAAACCTGATTGTAAATAAGGAAATAGAAAAATTTGGCAGCCTTATAAACCGATAATTAATCCTTTGGCGTAAACGATATCATTTCAGTGCAGCTTATATGCTGTATTATGCTATAAATCACGCTTAGATATTGAAAAAGATTTTGATGTGACATATTTGCTCTGAGACGATTCTAGTTAATTTTTTGTTGTGTTTTAAACTAGGTCACATACTTGTCCACCTCTACCCGCTTTTGGTCAATTTTCCTCTTCAAAATTACTGCATTATATCGTCTCCAAATAGATTTGTATAAGTTGATTCGCTTTTGTTTCATTCTAAATGTACCATTGATAATGCTTCCGTTTTTTACAGCCAAAAGATAGCTTCACAATAATTCAAAACAATTTCAATTTTTAGCTCAATGAGTTGTAAGGAGTATCAGACCCCATGCCAAATATTTGATTTATTTATAATAACGATGATTATTTTAAGACTGTCGGGGTGATAAAGTGAAATGTTGTGTTTGAAAGAAGCGCGTAACTGCTGTTTTCAACGGCTGTTAACAAAGATGAATATTATACACTCTTTGCTAATATCGCGCATTTTTTGGCTTTAAACTCTGAATTTTTCGGTGTTTGTATCCTAACCACCTTTAATTAGATCTGTTTTCTTATCTAAAGTTATCTTTATTGAAACTTGTTTGCGGTAAACCATTGGCTCCCATGACACTCTTAAATTTTTACTTCAAGTCTTATCTAACGTTGCAGTTTGAAATGAAATTAGAACAATCGAATATACTTGTGAGCCAATTAGCTCTATCCGTATTTGCTCTAATATCCACTCTCTCAAAACAAATGCACAAGGCATGAGTGAAATATATCATGTCAAAATCGTGCCAATTATTTACTAAGTAAACATGCGAGAGAAACCATTTAAAACATATGAAATTGGCTACTTCGTCGCTGATGTAATTGAATCCAAATGCCCACCAGCAAATGGATATACGCTTGCGTGAAGTTGTTAGAATTGTTCTAGAAGTTTTAAGCTTATTTTTTCAAGAAGCTTAAGGTTTAGAGATAAGTTAGTTTCCTCTTTTTATCGTTTCAAGTCAAAACCAAATCGTTAAAGTATTGTGATACGTCTTTGTGTGCTTGCATGAAGTCACTGTAATTATTCTGGAAGCGTAGGGCTTATTTTTTTCAAGAAGCTTAAGGCTTAGAGATGAGTTACATTCCTCTGTTTATCAACTAAAATTTATGCCAAGCTGTGTTAGTATATATTGTCGTATTTCATAATCTTAAGAAGATATTTCCTTTTCAAATTATTGATTTTAAGTTTTTGTGACATGAAGATAGTCTGTGATTTCCAGTGGGCAATGATTGTTGCCGCTGAATACTTTTTGCATACCATTTCTATAGTCACGTTTTTTTGGTATGTTTCGTCCGCCACTTTGAAAGAGGGGTGCAAAACTGCAAGGACTGAAATGTTTTATGCGCTGTATCATCCAGAAATTTCGTTACAAAATTGTAAGAGAGTTGAGGGAATGTATTCTAGTTTTCAAAACGTGGTTGTTTTTCAAATTAAGAAACTCACGTCATTTCATTGTCTTACGACAGCTCTTATAACCTCAAGAAGGTTTGCCATCTAAAACTTCCTTATTTTTAATACCTATAAATGTGATTAATTAATCGTGTAGTATTGGGCCGATAAGCTTAAGCTAAATCTAAACTTAATTCTTACAAGATAAATGAAAAAATTCAGCCAAATAGCCAAGGTCAGTTAGACAGCTAAGAATCCTATTGTCCGGTCACGCCCATTTTTGACCATTACCATGCTCCACCGCACGACAAAAAACCATTTGAAGACAAACTCTGGTGAACTCCAACATGACAACTTAAGTATTTTGTGCACTACTCACAATGACGAGAATTCCTCGGATTTATTGACATTCTTGCCGAAGATTTACTGGCTCTTTCTTAATGGAGATTTCTTTCAAATCGGCCACGTTGTTATGATAACATTTCTGTTGAAATAAAGCTTTCTCCATGTCTTTTTAAAGTGACGCTATGAATGCTGAATGCAAGAAATCTCCCTTCATTGTTTTGTGGAATTGACGCTGTAAGAAACCAATCTTTTAGGTTTTGCTTGAAACTTTTCCATCCATGAAACGTGCCTCAAATTTTGGGCGGATATGATAATCAGACCGAGAAAGAAGACGCCCGCTCGCGTAAACCGCGAGCAAACCGCGTTCAAACCGCATGTAAACCACATTTAGGACAGAATCACGGTAGGCAATAATACAACGGAAAGTTCCTACCACTGAAACTCCCTGCAGATAGTGATATTTGTACTCAGGCTAGCAGTTCAAACATTATAATCATCTCTTAATTTTATTTACATCTGAATATTAAAGAAATTTAATTTTTTTCACGTGCACAATACAAAGAAAATCCTAAGTTTGCCCGTAGCATGAGTCAAATCCAAGTGTTTCTTACAAAATGTGTTTTTTGATTAAATTTAAAATTAAGCGTCATTTTAATTCGATTAAAACAAAGTTAATCACTATTTCTAATGAGCTCATCTCTAAAAGATGACTCTTACGGGAGAGGAATGATTTTCCATGATAGACATCCGCACAATATAGTCGTTGGGAAATGTAGTAAACTGTGTTGATCACAATCCCGCTTAACTTTACAGCCTTTCCAAAGAGCGTTTGGGGCTGTTTTTGGTTACAGGCAAGGGTTTGTTATGACAGCGAGTTACAGAATTGAAAAAAAGCTCTGGTGAATCTTAGCATGGCGTAATTTTGTTTCCACGAAAGTTTTAAATACCACCGCAAACTGATCATGAAATAAGGGTTTGTGTATTGATGAAATATTCGAAACTTGACAAGAATGGCAACATTTGGTTTAGAAATAGCGCATGAAAACAGAGCTCTAATACGTGTAATTGACCTGTCCCGGCAAACCGTTTCCAGGTGAATATAATTTCCGCGTTCGATTCTTTGGATCTCATGTTATAAATTTCGAACTAGGAGTGAAACGATGATCAAAAGCTGAATTCTTCCATCTGCTTACTTTTAATTAAGTCAAAGTTGTTAAGAGAACTTAAATCGTTGTGTTGGCCTCCTGCATAAGACATACAGAAGTATTTTGAATTTAGCTTGTTTGTTGAAATTGTGCGCTGTAGGCCAAATTTTGCAGAACTTGAAAAGGTTATAACGTTATCGCGGTGAGGATTTTAAAACACAGTTAAGTGCAATTCGATTTTAGCACAATACTTTTAAGCAAATGAATTTTACGCAGTCATACTAAATAAACTTTGATGTTGGTATTTTACAGTAGGCCTAATCCTTCGCTTTGAAGCGACACCCCACTCCCCACTCCCCTCCCTCTTTCCAAATGGGAGGGGGGGTAGGAGGAAATATTTGCTCGTTCTGTTCGATAATTTTGGGATTCACTGCATGCGTGCGCGATGCTGCTGTATGGTTTAACCAAATTCAAAATGGCTACTTCATACAAAATATAATAGTCTAAAACCAAGACAAAATCTTTTAAATACATTAACTGACTTAAACTAATATGCATGCATGCTTCAACACGCTTCGTGTACCTGATGTGTAAACTCAGACGTAAAAATGCATTAATTTTTTTTTTTTAACGCACATTATATAAACAAATTATTTTCTTTGCAAATATGAAACACCGATATAGAATAACCATTGTTTAAGTGATAAGCGAACAGGATTAAAGTATAAGCTATTTTCAATGTTATTAGAGGATAAAAAAAGAAGAAGGTTCTTTTGTTGTCTATACGCTGCTCTAAGCATGTGGTAAAAACACGTGAAGTAACATCAGAAAACACATGTTTAGAAACTCACAGAATTTCACCAGATTTTCAAGATTGCCCCAGTTTCCTCTGAAATTTGCTTTACAGAGTTCTTTTTTCAGCACAGCTAGGAAATTCAATATTAGAAGCTTTATCGCCATACCTTCTTTGTCTGTATATCCGACCACCCATTTCGACACCCCAAGTTATTTAAGTTGTTTGCTATGAAAGAGGCTTACAATGTTGACAGGCTTATAGAAACGTGCGGTAGAGCAAGTTTCCGTTCACGATTAGAAGGTAGTTTGCGATAACGTTATCGGCTGTTAAAGTGCAATCTATAGATATGTATATACATTTCTTTTTTGCTAACGAAAATCCGGTCGGCTTTCAGTTCATGGAATCTGAAGAACATTTGAATCTTCAAATACCCAGACATTCTATTCACAGCTCTTTCCAAGATAAATTTAGCGAAAAGTCAGGGTGGGCTGTTTCAGATTTTTCTTGTGCGTCCACGTCCGAAGATGAGAGCTGATTTACAGCTTCTAGAAGTCTAGTGAGCGGTTGACGCTTATGAAAACAAATATCTGAAATTAGCTTAAAACCTTAAAAAAAAAATAAAAAGTCACACGGGAAAAAAGGCAGACCGATGGATATTGAGGTGAAGATAAGCTAAGGAGCTGAGCTTGGGATAAAATGATCAAAAGCGAAGCTAGGCGTCGGCAGATAAGAGGGCTAACGTTAGCACGCTTAAATTAGCACCATCGGATCAGTGGTCAGTGGCGAGTTAAGTGCGGAAAGTGTTGTAAATTATAAACTTATAGTTTTACTTTCATATTAACATATCATCAGCGTTTAAAATTTTTTCACTGCTTTTTTTCTACTCCCTAATATTCGTTTGGTGTGTTGTTAATTTAGTTGGGAGATTTGCAATATTGATCAATTTTACAGACTAAAAATAGTGACTAAATAGTGACTATTTATTGGTTAAAGATTGATATAACTGTTTTTCGACGTTTTTCCTTCTGCTTGCAGTTAATAACTCCGAAATTTCCCGTCGTGGTGAAGGTTGGCCATGCGAATGGTGGATATGGCAAGGTAAGGAAGGTTTTTTCTTAAAAGTGTTGTCATGATTCATCAAACTTAGACAAACTAGACAATTTTTCGTCATCATGTATTTCGCAATTAGTCATTTAACCACGTACCACCAGTCTGCGAGACTGTCTGTCTGCCAGACAAATCCTTAAATCTGTGGGCACCAGTCCTACGAGTGACAGATCCTTTCCAGATTATGACGCCTCCAAAAATATCCCAATATTTTTTTATTTGTTTGTTTTAGATTGTTTTGATTGAATAATAAATATTTGGAAGTTATGGAATGGTCACTGGCGAAAGAAAGGAAGAGGTGGAGATGGTTAACACCCTTTTTTCCAACCGTTACCGAAATAAAAAAATCAAACACTGTGGCTCAACTAACCATTCGAGAGTTTGTAACGCTGATTAACGCTACCTCGGTAGACCCCAGACTCCTATACAGTAGTCTGCTCTTTCCCCCCACCCCTGTCCCCACGTACCTACCGTTGTGATCGATTTTGCCACCAATGAGATACAAACCCCAGGCTGTGGATACGACATAAATATTGTCCGATATGGCCGGACTTTTTCGCTCATCTTATAATGAAACCAGCTGAGTTCATCATATTCCTGTTTAGGTTTGTGTTCACAACCACCGCAGCTTCCAGGATATCGCGAGTATTGTAGCCTTGACGGATACGTACGCCACAACTGAACCTTTTATTGCAGGCAAATGCGACGTTAGAATTCAGAAAATTGGTACCCACTACCGAGCTTTTAAGTAAGTCTTTTTGGTTTGTTGTTTAGCTGCTTTATTTCAGCTATTTCAAGTCTGACAATGATATTTGTTTTGTACTGGAGCGTAAAGAAGTGCAGAGTATTTGTCAAATTCAACGGTATTCGGACCAGCTGAATATTTCCCGCCAAAACTGCGCGCCGTTTTCGCTGTCTGCGTTACCAAGTCTTTGCTACCAGAGAAGCCGTGAGTCCTGGGAACGAGATTAATGTAGGTTTTGTTTTGCGTTGCGTTATGTTAGGGCAAACGTGAAACAGTAAAAATTGTACCTTACCGTCAACCGATCGCAGCTGTTTGTGCACTAAGGTGAAAATACTAGCACCGGGTGTGAAGAAGGGAAACACGTGACGAACATGGGATTTGAGGGAAAAAAAATCAGCATCACCTGTGCTGATTGCCGTTGCTTTAAACGACAGGTTTCATTGGTAATTGAAATTGAACTTGAGAGTACAAATAGTACATTATGTAACGTTAACAGAATGTTACCGACACTATATCACCACAGATCAGCAGTTAACTCGTGTTTATTCTTCCTAAAGACGAACATCCATTTCGGACAATTGGAAGACCAACACAGGGTCCGCTGTCCTTGAGGAAATAGCTTTCACCGACAGGTATCATTTGTAATGACCTTATGTCAATCTTGCTTTCTTGGGTAGTGTTGCTATCCTTCGCCCTTCGAGCGTGATTCTTTTTCTTGCCGCTCAAAAAATCACCCCAGCTCACGCTCGCTGGTCATTTTCTGACTCCTACGAGAAAAGTAGCGCGATTTAAGCCTGGACTAATGCACCTATTTAACATTTGTGAAAACTAGAAAAAGGCCCTACAGTTGGAGAAGAAAGAAGTTTTTTTAAATGATTGTGTTTTCTCCCAAAAACTCTCGATTTTAATGGGGAGAGCACTGGAGACGAGGCCGGGTCAAAACTCTTCGGAATGACCTTGGAGATTTTCGTAACACGCTCGGTCGTCGTCGGCAGTCATCATATTCGTGCCCGATGACTAGAAAGAAATTTTGTGAATATACTTTCGATCCAGGGCAGGGGCGTGTACCAGAGTAAACTCGTTTTGCGCCTCAGTCTTTGTCTGAAAGATTTTCCTGTTTCAGACATTCTAAACGCAACAATATGTACTGTTGCTCGCAAGGTTTTTCTACAAAAGTTTTCTTAATTTTCATCTTTTTGCTGCAGGTATAAGAAGTGGGTTGACGAATGTAGTCAGCTGTTTGGAGGTGGCCTGGACATTATGTGTGTGGAGGTTATTGTAGGAAAGGACAACAAGGACTACATCATCGAGGTAACTTGAGAAATTTGAAAGGCTGACGTTTCGAGCTCTAAGGATTGTGGTTTGTAAGTGTGTTTCTGTCGAGGAGAATGGGGTTGTCAGCTCTTGTGGTTATTTTCTTCGTCTTGTCACGAGCACGAGACATAAAAATTACAAGTCCCCATGATAAATAAATGACAGAAACCGGGATAATCTAATGTGCTACGGATTGAACACACTGCACTTGAAATACACTCAACTCTATTGAAATTTTCTGTAAGGTGAATGACACCGCCATGCGACTCTTCAGTGACACACAAGATGAAGACCAGAGGAGGATCGCTGACCTGGTGATCGCGCGAATGGAGAAGGAGTATCCACCTACTCTAGAACCCAGTACCGCCACGGGCGCCGCGCTTACAGGTGCTTTTACATCTTGTCTTTTAATTAATTAATAGCAAAGTCGACTGGTCACACCCCCAACCGCGGAAAATCTAATGTAAATCTAAGAAGAGGAAAAAATACAAGGGCAGGAAACGTGCAGCATATGTTAAAAGGTGAAAGTCACATAACCCGTGCTAAGAGCGGGAAAGTATCAACAAGCTGTGTTCAACGCGGGACAACACGCAACGACTGCAAATCACGACATGTAGTAGACACGAAGTCTCGAACAAGTGGAAGGAAATCGTGTAGGCCGTACGGAAGCGTGAGAAAACTCCTTTAGCGCGCAAGGCATGAAAAATTTTTTTTCAAGTGCGAATGCTATGCCCACCACTCAAAGCATAATACATCTAGTTTAAGAATTGGTAAGGATTCTTAAAAAGAAGTTGACCTCCCAGTTTGCTAGCGGTTTTCTTGTTGTGTCTCAAGATGTGTCTGAGAGTAATGACGAGCTTTTACTTGAATTTTCTTCTACATGTTAATTCTTGCTTCTTTCTCCTTTGTTTATTTTCCTCTGGAATGACGTGACCCTTTTTGTGAAGTGATTTATCATTAATATTTACTTGGGGTGCAATTCTCATCTTTTCTTTTCTTATGTAGAGCGAAGTAATTTGTTTATCTAACATTTTTGCTTTTGCATTCCTTCTTTTCTCTCTTCCTTTTACTTCCTGGCTCTCAGGCGAACGGGCAAGTGACGGTACCTGTAAGTAGCGGTGAGAATCTTATCCTTTCACTAAATCTGTTCTATTTCTCTTCAAAACATCTGCGCTGCGGGAAAAATTGCCATTTTAACTGATTGTTGAACTAAAGAGTTTAAATGTTAAGTTGGTTGATGGAAATATGGAATCAGATATATACTCATAACTGGCGAGTTTTAACAGCACCGTTATTTTGGAAGTCATGTCATACGCTTGCCAATGTAGCTAAACTATGTTGTCCCTTTGGGATCCTTCTGAACGAGATCGTTAGTTTATGTGACGTCTCATAGTCCATCGTGTCGCTGAGTGGGACTCAAAAGCACCAATATGACTGACATATTTTATTTTTTCGGCTTTTGTGATGCTTTTCCTTTATTTTACAGAGAAAGAGAATTGACTTTACCCAACTCTTTGTTCAATTAAAAGGCAATTTGTTCGAGCGGTAGAGCTTTCCATTAATCTTCGGTTGTCTTGATTCTGTTAGAACTGAATGGGTGATTCACAAGCAATCGACTGTTATTCTTTTCTTTCTCCTCCCTTCCTATGCTAACATCACTATCATTCACTTCTTGTTCACTTCCCTGACTGCTTCACTTACTTTTAAGGAGGTTTTAGTTTGATGAACGAGCTAATACATCATGGAAATGTTACATTTCTTATGATTGTTGAGCTTTTTTCTTTTGGCATCGTACATGCATGCGTAAACCGCAAAGACCACAAAACCAAATGATTTGTTTCATTTGATGCACTAAGAATGTCGACGCACCTCGCAAGGACAATTTTTTTCCACTAAAAAGTCCTGGACAAGTAAAAAACGTTGTCCTTGTTTTCATTCAATTCCTATAATTTTGGCGAAATTGCATCATTTAAAATATTGCCCCTCTACTTCAAGTACGTCTGATCATTTTAGCAACGTTTTATCGTTAGAACTGTTTACCGTTACAAGATTATTGTATACCAGAAGAGAAAGCTCGACCAAGATAAAGAGTAGCGGACTTAAAAAAAAAGAGAGAGAAGCTTATTTTTTGATCTATGAAGCAAGCTTGTTCAGTACAAGCTGTTTCAAATAATAATTCAGTTCGGCTCGCACATCCCAAATTTAAAGAGGAGAGTACAACGTCACTTTCTCTGTCGATTCAGTCCCCTCTCGATGCTACACAATTGGAACGCAATCTGGTTATGATGATTAGTCTTAAAAATTAAAACAACTTTTGGAATATAGGCGTAATAATTAGCGTGGTGTATTTCGGCCCAGAATCGAGTAAAAGCAAGAAAAACAAGTGTTAATCTCAGGGGTAGTTTTACTTTTTGCTTGGGAATGAATAGATTTTTTTAGTGAATTTTTTTTATGTTGCAGGTGCTTTTAAAGTTATCGGGGGTCCCGGCGCGCCGACAGTTTCAGAAGGGGCAACAAAGACGGAAAAAAAGAAAAATGGACTGTTCAGTGGTTTTATTGATTAGGATTATTTATTGTTTGAATTTAGCCGCAGCTATGTGTGTAAAGAGTTTTACTCGACTCAATTTATGTATACCGGCACATCGGTTGTTCAACTCGGATTGTTAGGCTGTTATAAATGTTCTTAGCGATGGTGCCACCGGCCAATGCGTGATGAATTCCTAACGTAGTAGCTGAGTGTGCACGGCCAATCAGATTTAACTAACAATCAATGCTAACCAATCAAAATAATAGAATGCGTCTTAGAAAGCAGACTTTTCCGCTTCAGCTTTAAAACGGAAGTGGATGAAACTTTCTGGTCAGGACGTATGGCTATCTTGGCAATTTACTAAACAATCTAACACTTATTGACAAGATCACACTACTTTTTTAAAGAGCTACAAGGAAATTAATAGAATTGCCTAAGTTTGAAAAACAGCAAATCTAGCTAGAAATTAGTGATTTCAAAAAATTTCAATCGGCTCATTTCTTTTGAACAGTACACATATAATAGAGCTCGTAATGATTTTAAACTAGCGGAGCGCTCGAGCTCGGCCGATTTGAATTCACTCGTAAGGTTACTTGCTGAATTGTATCCACTCAGTCCTATTCTCATAACAAAGATTTCTACTGGCTTTGGATAAAAATCCAGGATTGCTTAGTTTTTGCTTTACTTCGCTTCGTGGTTAGTCCCGACTACTCGCACCACTTTTCCAATCAATCAGACTCAAAAACTAAACCATTGGTGCTTGGTCATCCGCGTTTTCCCGCGCTTTAGGTGGGGTCTGACTTCTGATTGGCTCCTTGTGATATTTTCATTAGTCCTGATTGGCCGTCGTGATATTTTCATTAGTCCTGACCGGCCGTCGTGATCATTTTGGTAATTGTTTAATGAAACTCGATTGAAACTTTTCTCCTCTTTTTGGCTCTTAGTCTGATAGAAAGTGAAAATTCCTTTTCGCTGAATTTGACTGTAATTATTTCTAGAACGTTTATTCATAGTGATGATATCTTGTTGGGGACACTATTGTAAAAATAAAATGTATCGAAAGTTGCTAGGCATACGAATCGAAATTTGAATAATGTATAATTTTTATAAATTTATTTAACCTTTAGGATTTTTAATCTTGTTATTTATATAATTCAATAACTCGTATTGCTAGGACAAGTCAGTTCGTAGGTTTGATGGGAGTTTGAAATAAATATATTCATTTCAAACGACTCAATAAGTCAATAAATTGCATATTCCCGTGCTGCATGTGTAGTGTTTGCAGATATCATGCTGAACCTCATCCACTAATTGCTTGATAACCCTGAAAACCCAACCTCGTTCCCAGGTTCTTCTCTCCTCTTCCCGCGAGAGGGAACGGGTTCCTTAGCCTGAGAACGCGGATGCCTGAAAACTAAGATGATTCCGAAATAAACAATCAACAAAGTTTGCACAAAAACAGGGTGATGAAAGTTTCCGCAAATGCAGATGAATAATGGAACTTACTGATCAGATTCGAGGTACTGATAAGATGTTTAGCGATTGTATTCAAGTGAATTGGCGTCCTCCGAGAATTTTGACAATCTGTTGACGAAAAATGTCACTTAACAAAATTTGAAAAACCTAACCCTTTATTAAATGTTTCATGCCGGAAAAAGCTTGAATTACTCTTTGGAATGGTGTGATCATAACTAGATACAAACTTTTGATAAGTCTTCATATATTCACTGTAACACGAGGATCAATAGTCAGCCCGTAAAATATATAACGAAATGTCATCTTTCAGCAGCGCATTTCGATTCAGCTCTTCTGGTGATAGATAGCGATGGAGAATCTGAATGGAAATCTCGTGACAAATGTTTAAGAGGATATCATTATACGTCATTAATTTTTGATGAAAAATTTGTGGATGAGTGCTGTTAAAAAGAGCATTTACAGGTACCAAACATAGACTAGAAGACTCAGTTTTTCCATCCACTGTCAAGTCCTCTGGGAAATGTGAATATATGAGGTACGACAACTCGCATCTCCATGGTTTTTCGCGTCAACACCAGCTTACGACCGCCTCGGGGTTTAATTTATTTAGGGGTTTCATGTATGACTGACAATTTCGCCGGTGATGTAGCTTAGATGAAGGCAAATAGATGTAGTTATTAACAGTCCTGTTTTCTGCAATAATGGCTTGAAAACGCAGGCCATTGTTTTCTATTACGAATTAAAAATGTCTAGGCTAGAATCGTCTATCAACAATAGAATTATAAACTGGCAAACTCTGTTTTTAATTAACAGACTTACGTTGCAAATTATTGAAATGTTTTCTTCACTCAAATTAAAAATGGTCACGTTTTGAAGGACTGTGTGTCTGGAGGAAATTTCACTTTATCGTTCACGCTTTTAGGAAAATGATACATGTCTTACTTCAAAATTCATCAGTCTGTTTGAAATGCAATATGCAAAAGACTTTGAAGGGCTTTTTTTCCGCGTTGAATAAACGTTTTGTTTTTGTAACATAAATCGTTTGTTTTTATTAAGACTTTTATGGCTGGCTTTCATTAGAAAGGATGTTTCACGAAGAGTAAATATTATGGTTAGGGTTAAGCATTTTGAAAATGAAAGAGAAAACTGGCTGAAGACTTAATCTAACAAAACATTCAACTGGTTTAGTTTGGTGAAATCTGTCATTACTTTCATGAATTTTTCATGACGATAGAATTATCCTTTCTTTAATGCAAATGGATTATAAAAAGGCGGTGCTTTCAGGCGACCAATTTACAAATCAATTGTTCGGTGGTGTGGAAATGTTAGGGCGGACTTAAGCCTGTGATGGCAGTTCGTGTTTGGGTCTTCAAGTTTAAAACTGATAAAAATATTGTCAGTCGATCAAACTGAACGTAAACAACTTGAATTCGAATACTGAACTTAACTATAGATTTAGAACGTCAGAGGCAGGTGAAACTACAGGAGGTAATGGTTGAACTAATTTATTTCATTGTAGTTTGACATGTTTATAGTCACACGAAACGGAAAACGTTGCATGTAAAGCTCGCAAAATATAAAATTCAACTGAAGGCAATGAATTCGAGCGCGGAGTTCAATTGCAGACTGCTGCGTTCGTTTCATAAACTGCCATATATTATTTTCGCGTAAAAACTATGTGACATATGTTAAGCACACTAAGAATACGCCAGAAATTAAAGTTGGAGTTGCTACGACACTTAACTTACAGTAAACCAAGACTTGTCGGTATGTGTTTTCTCTTCACAGAGGATTAAAACGTACTTTGAACAGCAAGCTATCAGACCGGATTTTCGTCAGAAAGAGGGATGGCTTTGTGTTCAACTTCTGCCAACAAGGAACAACCCTTCCTGCCATCAATAGGTAATAAAGAAAAGCACAGACATAGCGCAGAAATCCGCGCCGACGTAGAGGACTTGAATCGACGAATAGAATTTTCTGAGGACATGAACGAATCGTCTAAAACAACCGCGAGGAAAGATTCATCATCAAACAAAACTTCTCAAAAAAACGACATATGTAAGAGTGGACGAGGCAAAGCGATCAAAACAAGGACAGACAAAAAGCGAGGAACCCATTTTCATTTGCCCCCGCTATCTTTAAAGCCAGTCGGAAACGCTCGGCCAGTGGAAAGTTGGAGTGCTGCGTTAGGTTTACGGGAGAGCTTTGAGATTCCTCGTGGTTTCTTGAATAAACTTACCAACGAGGTGCTCAGAATCGATCGACTCTTGAGAGAAGAAGCTATGTTAAAGCAGATCAGAGAAACGAGGATAATATCTAGGCAATTGAGCGAGTCTACGGACAAGCGAAAACTCTCTTCTTTTGGACTTTCATTGCAACATACTGCTCGACCAAAATTTTCCTACTTTCCTTCGCTAACAGAGCCATCAATTGAGCGTCCGGGATCGCCCTTGAAGCCGTGTCGATCACCAGAAAATAAAAATCGAGAGCTAATTAATCAACAGGAACTTGAGATTCAAAGGAAAATGAAAGCGTTTAAGCATCGCCATTCACATCCCAAGCGTAAAACAAAATTAAAATGAGGAAACTAAGTGCATTTGTCTAGGAAAAAGGCCACGATTTGCACTGTAGGTTGTCAAGGGAACGAACAATTTACAGGATCTCGATTGTTTACACATAGGTGCCACCTATGTTTCCTGTTTTTCATCTATATTTAGTCTGGAAACTTGTACATGTTAATTACTAGGAACAAATTATCAAAATCGTTTTTAATTTATATATTTTAAGTTTTCAAATAATAGACGCCTTCAGAGCGACAAGTAAACTTTTATTAAAACTTTATTTCAATAAATTCACAAAGCTCAGCATGTGATAGTTTATCCTCAGTCAGCATGCTTCACACTGAAACGAACACAGCGATCAAACATCTGCGCATGTGCGGATTTTGTAACATCCATAACGTTTGCTTTCTAGAAAGCTTTCAGGCTATCACGCCTGTCAGAACCAAGTTTTCTCACACGAATAACAAACAACTACTCAAGCCAGTAAGGTACGGTGTTTTAGAAGTGTAAAATCTTTTTGGTCTTTTCAGGTAAAGCTCTAAACAGAATGGTAAATCAACAAGATACCCATACTTTGATAAGCTTTCTGTTTGAAAAGTATCGAATTATCCTTCTACCTACTACCTACTTTTGCTTCCTTTTATAGATTTCTGTAAACATTTCAATCATCTATCGCTTAATTTGCGAGAAAGCTGTTGTTTCCTTTGAAATTTTCCGCGGGAAATTGGCGCGGGCAGTTAACGTTGATCCCTCGCGCATGCCCGACGTTTTACCGCTGTGTTTGCTGAACGGTAGCTGGACGGAGCATCCCTCTTCTATTTAATGGTAAATTTTTACTCGGCTGCACATGAGATTTCTGCATTCTGTCAATCAATCCATAAAAAACGGAGAATTAGCTAAAGGGCGACACGAGAGGTGATGCTTTTCCACAAACATCTTCTGAACCTTTTTCAGTGATATAAAAATCTTCGTGTATTCCTCCCTCGTTCTCAGGCTCCCCGGCTCGAGGGCTTTTTCCTTTTTTTTCGGTTTCATCTTTTCCAATTCCATTTTCAATCTCTCTCTCTTATTTAAAGGCGGAGGCGAAGGGAACCTTTGAAAATAGGAATACTTAATGCGTGAGAGTTTTTGCGAGCACTGCGTATATCTAAGATCCCGTTGGAATTCGTAGTTTTTCAGCAATCGCGGAAAACTTTCATTTAAATTTTTAGCTTCATCTGTTTTGGAATGGTGGTTCTCTGTGTCTCCTCTAATGTCTGAAGTGTAAAATTCGTCTTTATTCAAATGAGGATTTTCTCCAATTTCTTCTCCGGTTTGAAGACCTGTATTTGATCCTGCGTAAAGATGAAGTTTTGGTAACTTAAAAACTGCCAAATCTGCAACTTCAGGATTTTCTCTTACTTTTTTGTCATCTTCAAATGTAACCACCTTCGCATATTTCTTCACACCAAAGTCAAGTTCAGGTAATGCCTTCAGTTTACTGGTGTCTTCAGATCTGTTCACCATCTCCTCTTCCTTATAAGTATCAAAACGCCGATCGCATTCAGATTCTCGGGATATCTAATGTGGAAGCTCGAGTTGAGTGTCATCTAGTTCAAGTTTCTGGTCAGTCATGATGAACAGAATATTTCAGTGCGTTGCTCACAGAAGTTGTTATTTAATCTCCTCACCTTTTCGTGCCGTTACAAAGCCCCTGTTAGGTACCGTGAGCTCTCGGAGCTTTCAACAACTGATTACCAACCAGGTGAAAATGTCAGTTTACTTTGATCTCGATATCTTGGCATTGAAGAAAATATAGAATCACTGTGACACCATAGCGACCGTACTAGACGTAAACTTACAACCAGTGAAGTTCAAATCGACGATGGATTTAAATAATTTCTCTTTGTGGAATCACATGCACTTACTAAAGCGTCCAAAGTTTTATCACGGTTGGTAAAAATTTGCTAAAGGAGAACAAAAATAAAACAGCTTAGAGTTATTTGGCTATGTTGGGAATAATTTCCAAAACTGTAAACAAGACATGCACCTGTCAGACTTGGCCGGTGGAAACGTAAATTTACAACAAAGGACGCCAATCATAGCCAACGTTAGGTGTGAAGAAATACTTAAATTAATTGGCCTAATGAATTGGTGTTATTTCTTTAAAAAAAAGTCTCTAGCTTTCCAGACAGAATATGGCCTAAGATGAGTTTCATTCGCAAATTTATCGTTATGTTACTAATGTACTTTTTAATCTCATGTTTTTTGTTGGAGTAATTAAAAAGCGTAGTGAAAAAGCAAATTTAATTCACAATCGTCCATCAATTGTACAACAATTTTGATCCTGATTGAGGTGTTCTTATGTATTGCAATTTCAGGGTGTGAATATTTTCAATAGAGAATCAACAGAAATCCACCCTTTGAGTCACATGGATGCTGTGCGTATCCATTTAAAATGACAGGGGGAACGACAGAGATAAATTGATCGGATTAAGAAGGAACTAAAGCCTGACTTAGTGGCCCTTTCCTCTCCTTTTATTCAATTGAACTCATTGAGTTGAGTGGTTTGTAACATAATTACATGTTACAGAAATCCTTCCAGTTTTGTTTTATATGTAGCACTCAGTCACACCTCAAAATTTTACGCACTTTGATGAACGAGCGAAAAGCGCAACAGCGAAGCACATGCATTTGATATCTTTGAACGAGAGTAGACTGGATCTAGTATTGTCGGAAATCATTGGGTAATTCAAGGGAAATAACATTAAATGCTGTTTTCAATAAATCCTATTGCACGACTCGAAAAAAAACTGTCAGGAACTTTTTTAATAGAAAGAAAAGACGAACAGGACAAGTCCAATACGTTTATATATGTAACTTTTTACTTCATTTACTGAGAAAGTTAAACGCAAGCCTCTACTCTATGTTCTTGGCCCAGTCTTTTTTTTCTGGCTCGCGTCCAAACTTAAAATCAAGCGTCGCCCTTACATGGTATTCTTTCGTTCATCCTGGTCAAATCCCAGCATCCCTTCGTTCATGATGACCAGCATTTCCCATCATAACTGAAGGTGATGGGAAATGAGTGAAAAGGCGACCGCCTCCTTTTGACTCAGTCCCCAGTTCGCCTCGTTCGCCCGCGTCCCGTCTCTGAGGAAGAGATTACCATTGTCAGTAGTTTTTCATAGTTTCTGTCGTGGCTATCTCCAGTTACCCATAAACTGAATTTTCTCCCCTTTTCCATTTCTCCTTCCTTTCATTCGGGTGTACTCGTCGACTTCATGGCCAAATTCAACCTGTACCTAAAGAGGATTTTCATGTAAAGGAAAGTAATTTGAGCATGAAACTGCCCAATGATTCCAGCTTTCGAAACGATAGTTACACTTTTTCTAATAAAATACAAAGACAACCTACAGTAGAGTTTTAATTTTAATCGCCTGACAGGCCTTATTTGCTCAGGTTAGCAGGTGGTTAAAAAAACATCTGAATTTTCCTTAAAATCTTATTTTTAGATTTATCATTTCTCGAACAATATGGTTTTGGCGCGCAATGAAAGAGTCTTGCGTTGTGACACGCTGGCACTAAAATGGCTCTCTGAAAAAGATGTGTTGATTTAACTGGCTGATTTGCTTTGATATCACAGATTATAACTTGTGACGTATACACAATCTTGGCATATACACATTAAACCGTGAAATACCAAATAGCTGATGTCGATAAAGACAGCAGGTACCGGTAAATGGTTTAACCGCACGTTTTTGCAAAAGTGAGCCGTAGTTTTATGTTTTTAAATGATTTATGAGATAATTCTTCAAGAAAAAAATTATTTTTTGAAAACCAGCTCCTGTTTTTCAGCCGTTGCACGAAGTGATGAAGGAAAGTTTTGTTTCACTGTGATATTCACAATGTCATCGACAGAAAATCTATTTGAAGACGCTGGGAAGTTCACGAGCAGTTTAGAGTCAGGCTATAAATCCGAAGGAACAGATGACGGTCTGCCTCTTCCGAAACACAAAAGCAAGAAAAGCAGCAAGAAAAAAGAGTCTCGCAAAAATGTGGGCTTGGAAAACAAAGGTTTCGAAGCCGATACTGAACAAACAGACACAAGTACCAAACATAAGATTCAAGTTCATCGGGCATCAAGCGAAAACAAAGCACGAAAGTTGACAACGCAAGATAAACGGCGACATAGCGATGCGGGAAGAATATCAGTGCCGGATGATACCACAAAACCCTCTCATGAAAGCGCTGCCGCACAGAAAGAAAGAGGCTCCACTCGGCGGCGTTCAAGCGCTGATGAGGATTTAAGACGAAGAGCTTGTTTCAACTCGATGCGGCTTCGCCGAGTTTCAAGTTCCAGCCAGCTGCCTTCTTATGAAGTCGATACTAGTGTGGAAGACGAGATGTTTTACCAAAACCTACCAATGACTACTGTTGAAAATGGACATCAGGAAATGACTAATCAAGAAAGACCTAAAGACGAAGTGTTCCACCAAAATCCACCGATGGATAGAATTGAAAACGAGTATCAAGAAGTACCTTATCGAGAAAGGCCTAGACTAAATGAGGCTGACAGGGTATTTTCCATGGACAGTCTATGTAACTCTGTCGAGCAAGAAAATAGAAAGCTGGACGAATATTCCATGCGCCTATCGTGCGCTCTGGAAGAGAGAGCCAAACTGGAACAAGAGTTGAGCATTTTACGCAGCAATGCTTCGGTTGCACGCACCATGTCAACAGAGGAAAGTGAAAGGTGGAAAATATCGCCCGGCATTCACTATCGAAATGAAAAGTACAACTCGGAGAGAAGGATAAGTTCCAGAGGTGATTTAGACATGCAATTATCAATTGAACAGCTTAGAGGTATGCAACTTGAACAAAGTCGAAAACTACCGAATGTTCCCTTTAGAGTAGCTTCTCAAAGAGACGAAGAAATCCACGAGCGAATAGAGTCAGTAAATGAGACGAAAGTCGAAAGACTACTTCAGCGAAAAGTGTCCGAAAAACTTCCTCAGCAGGCAGAAGGGAAAACAAAAAGCCAGAATTTTCGCCTCAGC